ATATAATGCACAAAATTAAACCAAAAAAGGGACTACTACTCTTCAAATGGATTTATTCTCCAGATTTCCAATTCTGTATATCAGTATATGTTGAACTATAATCATAATCCATAGCCACTGCTTTTTCTACAGAGCAAACCACACACACCGAAAATATACAGCAACAAAAATACAAAAATTCCTAACATATATGCCTAGACACACCCAGAATTAAGACTTTTATCAACCAATCTACCTTGATTGCCTTACGCCTCTTGTAGTCCTACGAGGGCTCATTTTCTCGTTCATACAGTTTTCCCTGTTAGCATGAGGTAAAATCCTAGGCGTGTTTCCCAATGCCTGGAGCTGCTCGAGTGACGCCAGAACCTCCGTCATGGATGGCCGGTTTCTACCGTCTATGTGAAGGCACCGGAGTGCGAGGGCTGCTGCAGCTTGGGCCCCCTTCTTTGAGTACTGACCGCCCAATCTCGAGTCCATGATTCTCAACACTTTCCGACCATCACTTAAAAATGGTTTTGCCCAGTCCACTAGGGTTTCTTCTGCTCCCCCGGCATTGTCATCCCCCATGGCCCGTTTTCCAGATAGAAGCTCGAGCAAAACGACCCCAAAGCTGTACACGTCGCTCTTTGGAGTCAGGTGACCTGTTTTTTTTTTTTGTTTTTTTTGTTTTTTTTTAATAGAAATAAAGATTCGTCATTTCTTTATCACTATAACATTTCAAAGTGCATGAAACTACTTCATCACCACTGTGATATTGAAATAGGAGATGGAATATCATGTGATGTTAATCGAAGCAAAGAAGGGGTGAAAAATAAAAAAAGATTAGTAAAAAGAGTTGGGAATTGAAGGTGACCTGTTGCTACATATTCTGGGGCAGCATAGCCTCGAGTGCCAACAACCCGGGTTGAAACATGAGTTCTGTCTCCTTTGGGACCTTCCCTAGCGAGCCCAAAGTCCGAAAGCTTTGCATTGAATTCCTATATATAAAGCATGACATAGTTTAGTAGATTGTTACTTGGTACAACTTAGAACTAGCATTCATATTGGTGGATGTTAAGCTGAGGATTTCAAATCATAAATAACAAATCCATGTAGATTGTCCCAGATGAAATCATACTTTCAATGAATTTAAAATCCTCTGCTCCTGTATTTACTCACTCTGAGTTACAGTGGTGAATATAAGATAATTCCCATATCAAGTTATCTCTTCAGTTCATAAAAAGAAGATAAAGATTGTTTTTGCCTTACCGAGTCGAGAAGCACATTGGATGCCTTCAAGTCCCGGTAGATTATATTGGCATCTAAGCTATGCAAGAAGGATAATCCTCTAGCAACATCGACCGCAATTCGCATCCGTACTGCCCAAGGCATGAGTTGCACTCCTTCTGCACGATTCGAAGCACATTGATGAAAATTCAAACGGAAACGATTGCTTCAAAGAGCACTAGTGACAATGAAATGCTCAAATGCAGAGAAGTTTTGCTCACTTCTAAAAAGATGATTCTCTAAGCTTCCTTTCGACATGTACTCGTAGACTAGAAGCTTATGCTCAGATTCTGAACAGTAGCCAATTAGCTTTACTAGGTTTTGGTGGCTTAGCATGCCCAAGTAGTTAACTTCTGTCTGTCAAGTGAAAACATAAAATCAGTCATATTTCTCTAAAAAATATTTATATAAAGGTAAAAGACTATCAAAACTCAAAATTTTTGAAACATAATTTCAACACTTTTTTGGGCTCTTCTCTAATTACCCCAAACATCAGGGGTAGGTTTTTGAATAGCAAAAGTAGTTCAGGAAACATAATAACACATACAAGCCATTCCCTGTGGCCCTGAAAGCTTTCTGGCTTGAGCTTCTTGACGGCCACAACCATGCCGCTCCCAGGCCTGCTCGGGGCAAGCGTGTGCTCGTCTATCCATCCTTTGAACACATAACCGAACCCACCTTCCCCAAGAAGGCTATCCGACCGGAAGTTCTTAGTGGCGTTCTTGAGGTCACTTAGGGTGAACGATTTGAGGTTGCTCGAGAGGCCTTTCAAAGCTAAGACCGCATTGCATAAGGTGCCCGAGTGATTTTGCTGGTTCGAAGAACCCAAATGGTTTGATTCTGTACTGACACTTGACCTCTTATTATCTGATGAAAAGAGAATGGATTTTGCATGTTAGTTACATTAGAGAGTACTTCTTCTTAAGGTTGTCAATGGTAAAATGTTAAAGAAAGGAAATGAAAGAACACACACACACACACACACACACACACACACACACACACACACACACATATATATATATATGGATAATTAGTCATACCAGAAAATTGTCCTGAAGAAGCATGAGCAAGTTTTGCAGGTTTTCCCAGGCAAGCCCCCATCACTAAAATATTGAAAAATTAAGAGGAAGATGAAGAACACAGGAAGAATAAAATTGCCAGTATGAAAGAAGATAAAGGCAATTATAGGGTGTATAAATGGTCAAGGCTGAAGAAAATCTTCATAGAAAATGATGATAAAGACTGCTATGGAGTTTGATTATTGTCCACCACCATGGCCCCAAATACCAATGTAATGTGAAAAAGAGCCTATTTTTATTTAATTATGGCAGCATAAGTTTGACTGAAATTCTAGGCAGAGATGGTCAACATGCTGACCCAATCACAAACACCATTATGGAGTTGGCCACTCAATGAAATCTTTTTTTTTTTTTTTTTTTTTTTTCGTGTTTGAATTCTCTGTCTCAACTCTAAAGTCTTTTTCTATATTATTTTTTCTCTTCATTCCTTTGAACACCTTTTTGTTGTTTCACGTCCCTCTCGGTATATCAATTCAAAACGTGTTGAGTTTAGGTGGTAGATTTTCACGTTTCGGATGCTGACATTGCGAAAATCTATGCTTCGTGATGTTGTTTTTATATTATTTTTGCTCTGGAGTTAAGTTTGGTATTAGACATAAATAACTTTACACATATATTCATTAACTCAACACTCATGTTGTACATGAGTATTAGTACAAGTATTAATTAAGTTAAGATTGAGCTTGGGATTTAGAAGCCTAGGGAATTAATGTAACTCCATTTTGTGTGATCATTGAGTTATCATTTTATGATGAAATTATTTCGGCTGAGTTTACTAAATATGTACGGGGAATCACAATGTTAATCTTTTATTTCTAGTGTAGGTGATTAAGTAATTACGTAATTTTTAAATATTACTTTTGGTGGAATATAAAATATTTTCAATCGAAAAAACTCATACTCAAACCCAAAATGCAGTAACTATGAAGTCAAACAGTATTTTTTTTAACAGAAAATTCATTCTCAAACTCAAAACAATACTTGAAATATTCTCTTTCAATTTATGATTTTTCCATACTATCCAGATATTTTCCAATTGTACAAATTAGACCTTAATATTATTTTATATACAATTGAAAATTATATAATAAAATTACTTTAAAATCCATGTATATATAAAAAAAATTATACATATAATTCTATCTATTACTACTTAATATGTCAACAATATTAATTGTATTAGTTCACACTGCACAAGTATGCAATTTCTTTACATATATATTTTTTCATTATTTTTTATGTGCATCTCACACTTCAAAATACTCAGTGATATAGCTATATAAGTTGACCGGGGAAATGTCAAGTACCGAGAGCTTGACCGACTTAAAAGTCGAGATGTCAGGAGGATAGCCGAGCTCAAGTAGGCGGACGACCACATTCTCAGAGGACCTACAGGATTGATGGTCCAGAGGAACGACGACTTTAGGTCATGTAAACGACCTAAATAACTTCAGGACTCAACATAATTTGACCTATACTGTGCGGGACGACCTGAAGAAAATACGACCTGGACCAATAGGAAACAAAGATAAGAAGGAATCTTAAGAGGATAAATGGAATCTAAAGGTGAATATGAGATGATTAAGATATGGATAAGCACAAAGTCTGGGCAGCTGAGCTGGCTGCCCGCGGACACTCGGGCAGAGCATTCCGAACATGTATTTCTCTATAAAAGTAACTGAGGTATCACCAAACTTTGTTATTACATTCTCCATACATTCTATACTGCTCATATACACAGAGCACATCTCACTACAAAAAAACTCTTACATTCCAACAGAAATTTTCTGTTGGAATTCTTTATATTTTCCGTTGGAATAACTATTCCAATGGATATTCCTACGTATAAAAATTCGTGGGAAAAACGGCCGTTGGAATAGCTAAAATCTCAACGGAAAATCCTATGGAAATAAATTCCTACAACTATTTCAACGGAAAAAATCTGTTGGAATTCCTCAACCATCCAACACTTATTCCAACATAAAATTAAGTTTGTTGGAATATTCATTGGAATTTCCAACGGATTTTTTGCCGTTTGAATTGGAATGTTTTCTTGTAGTGTCTATCATCTTATTGACACTGATTTATGCATCGTAGGCTCTTCTTCGCAAGCCCCTCCAGCATTGAGTTCTTGCAGGTACACACGTGACACTTCAGGATCGGAGATCATCTCATCCGGTTCTACCCAGATCCAGCTAGTGAATCTTCACCCAGAAATTTCTAATATGTCTTCTAAATTACTATTATTATTATTATTATTATTATTATTATTATTATTATTATTATTATTATTATTAGTATCTTTTGTATATGTCATCTATTATTGAAAACACAAAAGGGCATAAGCAGCAATATAAAAAACACATTTTTTTTTTTGGTTTAACATATGAGATTGAGTGTGATTTCATTTTGAGTTTGAGTTTGCCGTTCAGTTGGACCCTTAATATTTTACTCATATTTTGAGATGTTTGGCATATCAAAATTTGATATAATCTTGTAAGATGTTTAGATATAGAAACTTCCTTGTTATTTATGCATTATTTTATATGAAAATTTCGTTACTTATTTTAGTAATTAATTAATAAATTCAGTACTATATATCTTGTGTTATTATCTACACCATACCATCCATCCTCAATTCCTAGCCATCCAAGAAATTACCTATATGGCTATATGACATTGACATATACACAGTAATATATGATATTTTTTTTCGCCGTGCAACATTGACGTTTCTCTTATCTCTTATTAGCACACAAAAATTCTTGTTAAATTGTCCACAGAGAGCAACGTACTACAACTCTAACAACATGTTGTAGTGCAACAATGACATTATTCATAAGGTACAAAATTCTTGTAAAAGTTGCCACAAATAATAATTACTTGTTGCGGTGGGTTTTCACAAAGTCTACAAGACTTTTCCTCAAGTATTAATTATTATGTGCTTTGTGAAGCACTTTTACAAAAAGTTCAACTATGAAAATAAGCTTTTTTTTTTTAATATATATTTAACGTAATGGATTTTTCAATAAGTTTATATTGGGTACTTCTTTAGGGAGGTGTTACGGTACGTTACGAAATTATTCCGTTGGGGTTTGTAACCGTTAGATCAACTATCCCGACGGTTACATGATGATCTAACGGTTACAAACTCTGACGGAATTGTTCCGTAACGGGACCGTAGCATTTCATATTTTTTTATATTAAACATTTTTATTAATGACTTACACTGGAAATTTTATGAAGTATAAAATTAAATTAAAAAAAAAAAACTCTATTTATAAGTGAGGGATGTTAATGGGGCATTATTGTTTAAGACATTAGAAAATTTATTACACTATAAGAGCAGCCCATGGTTTGAAGGACTTTTTTTTTTAAAGCAAATTTTAATGGCCATTTTGCAATAGTAATGTCAATCAGATGCCAACACAAACTCCTCATACCCCCAAATAATTAGGTGTGCATTGGCACACCTAGCAAGGTGTGCCAAAGCTTTTTTAAAATGAACATGTTTCATTACAAAATGAATATGTGTAAACATATTTACACATGTTCATTTTGTAATGAAACATGTTCATTTTAAACTACCTTGGCACACCTTGCTAGGTGTGCCAAGGCACACGGTAGTAGCACTGCCTCATACTTGCTTCTGCCTACTAATCCATCATCTATGCTAGTCGTGATGTCATACAACTATTCACAAAAGAAACTAAAATTATACCAATATTCGATAGCTTGATCATCACGAGATCATCTCCAACAAAGCAAGGATCCAATCATCAAGAGATGGCCAACTTTACTCAACAGGCCAGATACTCAAGGGCCCTTCAACATCCCACCAAAAAAGCCCCTCAACCTTGATCGAGAGCAAGATAATGAATGAACGGCCAAGATTTTTAGCGCATAGACATCAAAGTCCTCACCCGTTTTTCCTTCTCAGCTTTCTTAGCAGATGGGGTCCTCTTCAGCTTACGGAGCTCCTCCATCACCACTTTCTCAACCGTGTCGATGTTTTCTAGAAGCTTCTTCTGAGGCGTCTTGCAGGAATCCCCATCCTTCTGGTTAGTGGCAATATCGAGCAGCATCTTTGGGACTTCACCAACTCGAAAACTGATGTGGATGCTGAAGGATCACGAATACGGTCTTCGAGTAAAGGACTCTCAGTTTGTCGTAGGCCTTCAACCTCTTCCCAATGTGCTCTTCTTCTTTAAATTGCCCTCACTACAGCAGTAATGTCGCGGAGGGGCCTTCTTGGATACCAATGGGGCAAAACAGTACTTCCAAGAGCTCGGCCACGGCCACGCCCCACCGAAAGGGACAAATTTTTTAGCCCCGTTTTACGTGCAGACGATCGACCCAAATACCAAACACGACCACCTCTTGAATTTCCAACACTGCCTCTCCCAAAAGCCACCCCAGCCCCAGGTATGCCCACCATTGCCGTGCCTCTCCACCGAAAGGGAGTTCCAGCAGCATGCCTTTCATCGCCCTCGTCTTCAAGAACAAAAGCTATCGAATTTACCCTCACAACATTCCCCCTGCTCAAATACCTCCTCGATAATCGGTCTCTTGCCTCCGGCATTCTGTTGCAAACCTTCGGATAGTTTTTTTCCCGGGGATGGTGAGATGGAACTTCAGTCGTGGAATTGAGCTGCAGTAATGGCGGAGCTCGAAGCGCTTGACAAATGGAGATGGCCTTCTTTTCTGCTGGGCCCATGGTTTGAAGGACTTGAGTTTGAATGTATTACAATCGTCTTTTTCTCGTCCAACTTTAATGTGTTTTTTTTATGAATGTTGTTTTTTTTTTATTTAAACATCCCAATGTGAGATGGGGGTTGAGGCTACACCCCCAACCTGTGAATATAATGGCCCAGAGAGGGCTAAAAAGTCAAGGTCTACATCAAAGTCGAAAAATACATAGAACATCATCAAAGCAGAAATCCAAAATATACAATGATCAAAAAATATCCTATCTGGATCTAAAGTCTGGTCTTCATGAAAGGCGTCCTGGTCAAGGTGTCCTGGCATGAAGTCCAAAAAGACAAGTCTAGTCAGGATCAGGTGGTGGCGGCCGTCCGAATCTGAAGGATGGGTACTGTAGCTGGTCCATCCGAATGAGGGTCCGAAGCCGGAGGGGGATGTCCTCTAGGTGAAGGATGCGTCTCTGAGGTATAGATGCCCCCGTGCTAGCAAGGAAATCAGCTGGGCGGTTCCCCTCTCGGAATATGTGTGAGATCTGGTAATGGATCGAGCGAAGGGTGTCTCTGATGCGCATAAGGGGATGATGGATCATGAGCCCTGATGGCCAGATGTCAAAAGTGTGATGACAGCTGCAGCATCCATCTCTATCCAGATATGGGAGGAGATCAAGGCGGCAATCTCAAGACCAATCTAGAGCGCCTGAATCTCCGCATCATAACTCGAGGAGGCCCGGAGAGGTCCATGAAAGGCGGAGATGAGTGCCCCTCCATGATCCTTAATCAGGCCCCCTCCTCCAGCAGCTCCGGTATGTCTGCCAAATGCACCGTCAGTGTTTAGCTTAACGCAAGGAGGCTTGGGTTTCAGCCAAACAACGGTCCTGGGTCGTGGGTGTTGGACAGGTACAGGAGGTGGTGGTCTCCAGCGATAGAGCGGTGTGCAACCTGTCCAGTCTCTCGTCGTGAGTCTGCCCAGGGCGGTGAGGGGAGAGAGGTGTCTGTCAACCTGCAAAATGATGTGAGCACAACAAAAATTAATATCCCTATGTTTCGCATTATTCCTTTCTGTCCAGGTGGCCCAAAGGATCAGACAAGGAATAAGGAAGCCCACGTGTCTACTGTGTGTGTGGTGTGAGAAAAAACTCAGGAGCTCAAAAAACTGTATGTAGTGGGTAGGGGTATATGAGTATATCTGGCTAGTGCTCCCACACTCTCCTCACAATCTCACACTCAAGGAAAAGATGGGTGAAAGTCTCGATCTCAAAGGTACCGGTCTCAATACAATAATGGCAACGGGAGGGGAAGTCGCCTGCATCACAGTGTCAATAGGAATGCGCCGTAAAAGGAAGCGCCACAAAAAGACAGAAATGGTCGGGGTGAGAAGGTCGGTCCAAATAGCCCCGAAGAGTAGGTTAGGCCGGTTACCCAGCCTCACATCTCCCCAGGCCGAGGACGTAGAGAATGCATCCGAAGATGTAAGTCTCCACCTCATGTCGTCCAAACCTCCCTCCAGAATGGGAATCTGTCGGATCTGATCAATCTGTCGTATCCTATTAACGTCGAGAAAATTTGACAGAAAGGCATATTAATTTATCTATGCTTAAGCTTTTATCAAACACGTGTTTGGTAAAACAATTATTTTGGTTGATTATTATATTAAAAAGTTCAACGACTAAACAAACCAATTATGCAAAATCGCCTAATTGTATACGTAGTATTGCTAGAGTTCATATATATTTCTGGCCAAGTACCATGTTGGGATGAGAGGGAGGGAGACATTAGTTTTTGGTATGAGTGGTGGTTTGGTGAGGGTCCCTTTTCGAGCTCTAGTCAGGTCACCCACGTTCCCTATCTGCAGGTGAAGGACCCGTGGACAAAGGGGGTTTGGGATAGGGATAGGTTGGAGATCAGGATTCTGGGTACTGGGGCAGGTTTTAGTTACCATGAGATAGATCAGATCCAGTAGATTCCCATTTCGGAGGGCGGTTTGGACGGTATGAGGTGGAGACTTACATCTTCGAGTGCATTCTCTACGACCTCGGCTTGGGGGGAGGTACGGTTGGATGACCGACCTAACCTCCTCTTAGGGGCCATCTGGACCGACCTTCTTACCCCGACCATCTCTGTTTACCTATGGCGCCTTCTCTTGCGCCGTATCCCGATTGATACTGTGATGCAGGCGAGGGGGTTTTCGTTCCCCTCTCATTGTTACTGTTGTGTTGAGACCGGCGACTTCCAGAATGAGACCTTCACTCATTTTTTTTCTTGAGAGTGAGACTGTGAGGAGAGTGTGTGAGCATTATACTAGTTACACTCATATACTCCTACCCACCACAAATAATTTCTTTGAGCTTCAAAGTTTTTTGACACATCCCACACACAATAGGCACGTGGGCTTCCTTATTCCTTGTCTGATCATTTGGTTCACCTGGACAGAAAGGAATAATGAGAAGCATAGGGATATTACTCTTTTGTGCTCCCATATTATTTTGCAGGTAGACCGACTCTTATCTCTCCTCACCGCTCTGGTAGACTCACCTCGAGAGACTGGACAGTCTGAACGCCACCCCGTCGCTTTGCACCACCTCCGCTACCGTCTGTCCAGCACACATGCTTTAAAGCTGTTGTTTGGCTGAGATTCGAGCCCACTTGGGTTAAGTGAAACACTGACGGATCCTTTGACCGACTTACTGGAGCTGTCGAAGGTTGGGGCTTGCTCTTATTACCGCTTTCCATACCTCCCTTTGGGATTCCTCGAGCTATGACGCAGAGATTCAGGCGCTTCAGATCGGTCTACAGATTGCCGCCTCAATCTCCTCTTACATTTGGATTGAGTCGGACGTTGTCTGGACCGCTGGCCATCAGGCTCCGTGGAAGATTCAGCATCCTCACATGCGCATCAGTGCTATACTCCAGTCGATTCACTATCAGATCTCACACATTTTTTGCGAGGGGAATCGAACCGCCGACTTCCTTGCTGCTATTGGGACCTCCACCCCCCAGAGGCGCATCCTCCACCCCGACAATATACCTCTTCGCCTCCGTACTCTTATACGGATGGACTAGATGCGATACCTCTCATGTAGATTTACATAGTTGTCCATACTTGTTGGTATCTCTGGCCTTCTGTGAAGCAGACTTTTTGCCTGGAGTTCTCTCGGACCAGGATGTCACATTTGTATTACTTGTTGTTTTGTATCTTTCTTCTTGTTCCTTATTTGTTATCATTCGACTTGATATATATTGGAGATTTGTATTGTATACTGTAATTTTTTCAGCCCATTTAAGGCCTTTTATATACAGGTTGGGGGCAGCCTTAATCCCCCCACCCTTTTTGGGGTGTTGTTTAAAAAAAAAACA